TCGGATTGATACCAAGAGGGGGGGCCATGGGGACGGGCCCTCGCTCCAGAATGCTTCATACTTCACTCACAGATGAAGGGCCCCTTCGACAGAGTCCCACGACTCGTGCCTGAGGAGCCCGAACCTAAGGACAGTTGCGCACACTGGCTGGCCCTTACGGACCAATCCCATGACATTGGCCCGCCCCCCCCCCGAGGTTTTGTCGCCCGAGAGGTCCGCACAGTTCGCTCAGGGATGGGGCCGCCGCTCAAGTCATGCTCACGATCCCTGCCCCCCGAAAAGCAGACGCTTGCTGCAGGATGCGGATGACCCCCCCGTTCTCGGAACATTCACCTACAGCGGGGGGGGGGGGGCACAGGGAGGGGTTCCCGTTTGAGACTTCCCCAGCGTTGACTCACAGACGAGGCTTTCGGTGGATATTTCCCCAGCACGAATGGGAGTCTGTGATCAGGTGCTTGGCTTTGCAAGGGTGTGTGTGTGTGTGCGTGTGTGCGTGTGCGCGCGCGTGTGTGCGTGTGTGTGTGTGTGTGTGTGTGTGTGTGTGTGTGTGTGTGTGTGTGTGTGTCGCCATTCGACTTGTCTTGCGCTGGTTAAAACAAGTGTGTGTGTGTGTGTGCATGCTGGGTGCTGGTGATAACGGGGGTGATGATGCTGATGATGATGTTGCTGCTGATGATGGTCATAAGCATGAACCTGGTCATGACCATAATCATGACGATGGTGATGGAGTTGATGATGATGCTGATGGCGATGACGATGACGATGCCGATGACGATGATGATGATGATGATGATGATGATGATGCTGATGATGCCGATGTTCATGATGACGATGATGGTGGCAGGCGTAAGAGGAAGAGAACAGGAGAGGGGCCGTAAGTGATACTGTGCAGGGGTGCTTAAAGAAAATTATCCCAGTGCGACCCTACCTAGGAGTTGGAACCCCTAGGAAAGCAGCATTAGTAGTGACAGTAACGCTAAGCTAAAGCTAAGCTAAAGCTAAGCCACAGCTAAGCTAAAGTTAAGCTAAAGCTAAGCTAAAGCTAAGCTAAAGCTGAGCAACAGCTAAGCTAAAGCTAAGCTACAGCTAAGCTAAATCTAAGCTAACGCTAAGCTAAATCTAAGCTAAAGCTAAGCTAAAGCTAAGCTAAAGCTAAGCGAAAGCTAAGCTACAGCTAAGCTCAAAGCTAAGCTAAAGCTAAGCTAAACGCTAAGCGAAAAGCTAAGCGAAACGCTAAGCTAAGCTAAGCTAAGCTAAAGCTAAGCTAAAGCTAAGCTAAAGCTAAGCTAAAGCTAAAGCTAAAGCTAAAGCTAAAGCTCCCATGGGACTGGGGGGAACCGCGGGGCGGGGACTGGGGGAACCGCCCGGGGCGCTTTGCACTGCCCGGCCCCTTTAAGCTAAGAGAGTAAGAACCCTTCTAGGCAGAGCCTAGGTAGGGAACAAGACACCGATTTGGGATGGGTGGAAAAGTCGACACGCAAATTCGGACAGAGCGCATTAATTCTTCGCTTACAGTGGGGGAAAGGGGGCTACGAACACCCCTTATCCCGGGCAAGGGGGGTACGAATCACTTCTCCCCATTTCCCGACTGCCCCCATCTCTCCCCCCCCGCCATTCCCGCGCAGGAAAGCGACGACGACAGCGACGACGACGATGACGACGACGACGAAGACGACGACGGCGACGACGACGACGACGCCCGACGACGCCCGACGACGCCCGACCCGACCCGCCTGTCCGAGATGCGGCGGCCTAGTTCCTCAGTTTAATCGCCAGGCCCGCCTGTTTGTGTCCGTTCGCCCGGCCTGATCCACCTGGGTTTCGGTCCTACTCCATGGGGCCCCGACCATTCAATGTCCCTCCCGCCCGACCCAATCCTTTCGTTCGGGGCCGCCTGTCAGAACCGACTCGCCCGCCCGAGTTGTTGTTCTAATCAGTGGGGCCGCACTCTTGAGTATCCCGCCCGCCCGACCCGACCCGCTCACAGGGTCAGTCCGTCCAGTCCAGCGGGCTGGGTTCCGCCCGCCCGACCCGCCCGCTTGGGCCCGCCCTATGCCCTATGCGCATGGGTGGAGTAGTATCTTACCCCCCTTGTTCTGCCGCGCTGCCACGCAACGAGAAGAGCAGCTTTTGTTCTCTATGCTCTTGGGCTGCCACGTAGCGAGCAGTTCAGAGCGAGACATTGTCCACCACCAGTGCGGTGCCGCGTTACGAATGAGTCTGATTTTGTTCCGACCGCTTGCGTTGCCAAGTGATGATTCGAGTAGGGTGGTGGGTGTCCGCCCCACTCAGAGGGGGACATTCGGTTCCGAAACGGGGCGCTGGAAGTTTCTAAAGCGGAAGGATTCCCAGTATTGGAGACCCCCCTTTGAATTGTCAAAGCACAGCGCCAGCGGACACTGGCCATTGTCGAACAACCAAGGCCCGGAGAGTGATGATGATGATGATGATGATGATGATGATGATGATGATGATGATGATGATGATGATGATGATGATGATGATGATGATGATGATGATGATGATGATGATGATGAGGATGATGATGATGATGATGATGATGATGATGATGATGATGATGATGATGATGATGATGATGATGATGATGATGATGATGATGATGATGATGATGATGATGATGATGGTGGTGGTGATGATGCTGCTGCTGCTTCTGCTTCTGCTGATGATGATGATGATAGTGAGGAGGAGGAGGAGGAAAAGGTAGATGAGACGCATGAGGAGAACGAGAAGAGTGCACGAGGAGGAAGGAGGAGATGAGGGACGGAAGAGGATGGGGGAGCGGGGAGATGCAGAAGGACATGAGGTGGATAATGAGCAGACGGGGCAGGAAGAGGCGCAGGAGCTCTCGGCCCAGCTCGTTTCAAATTGTCAGGGGGTCTCTGCGGCCACAAGCGGGCCACCAGGGGCCAAACCTGACAGAGGAAGGAGGCAGGAGGAGGCAGGAGCAACTCTACCTGCGGGGATGCAGCAGAGGGAGGACCTTGATGATGATTGTGATGCTGATGAGGAAAGAGGAGAAGGAGGAGAAGGAGGAGAAGGAGGAGGAGGAGGAGTGGAAGGAGGAGGAGGAGGAGAGGTAGGAGGAGGAGGAGGAGGAGGAGGAGGAGGAGGAGGAGGAGGAGGAGGAGGAGGAGGAGGAGGAGGTGTGTTGGCCTCCTCCTGGGACCGCCCAGACGTTCAGATCTGTTCGCGACCCAGCGAGCGAATCCGAATAAATCGATTGTTTCGTTCACAGTTTGCACAACTCACTCATCCGCTCTGCCGAATCGTCACGGGCATCGTGCGCGCAAGAGTATGTTTGTTACCCGGCGCCACGAAATGCTGCGTATGGTTCTTGTTCTTGGCTGGGAATCAACGAAATGTTGTGCTTCCTCTGTTTTTCTGTGTTTTATTTGGAAAGCGGCAGCACTCGCCGCGGCGCCCCGCCCAGCACCACTCTTTCTGAACCACAAAACCCAAACACACAAAGACCAGACATACGCAGCGTGTCGTGCCTTCGGTGCCACGGAATGCGGCGTATGTTCTGTCATTTTGTGTTCTTTGGGGTCTGGGAATCAACGAAACACTTGGCATGTTTTTTTTGTTGGGGGTGGGGGGATGCTGGGATGGAGACGTCCTGGTTGGAAGGCCGCGGCAAACGCTGGGGCCTTCCTTCGCAAACCCCAATAACCAAAGCAACCAAACATACGCAGTGTTTCATTGATCCCCAGACCAAGCAAAGAACACACACACACACATTCGCAGCGCTTGGCACCGAGTGCACGAAACGTTGCGCATGTTTGGTTTTTGTGTGTTTGGACTTTGGAGCTTCAAAAAGAGTGGTGCTGGGCGGGACGCCGCCGCGAGCGCTGCCGCTTCCCAAATGAAAAACAAGCAGAAAACATTAAATAGACGCAACGTTTCGTCGACTTCCAGACCAAACGAATCAAACAACACCAAACATACGAAGCAGTTCGTGGCGCCTATTTTTGAAACAGTCGAATTGAAAGTTTGCCAAAGTAGCTTCTTGACAGCATCAAAACTGTAATTTGGTGTGTAAACCGATTGAAACGACCTTAACCCTCAACCCTCAACCCTCAACAATTTACATTGGGAGCCATAGTGCGCAGTAAGAATCAAATTGCAAATTACAGGCAATCCTTTCGTATACTGTGCAATAGGAATCCCGTTGTAGCCTGTAACGTTGGAATATGTTGTGCCTTGTATTGTAGATATCTCATTGTTATCTATACATTAGAAATCCGAGTGTAGCCTGTACAGTAATATTATTACGGTAAGTTGTATACCAGGTTTTATTGGAACTTGTACATTCGGGACCATTTGTAGCCGGTGCAGTAGAGATCTCATTGTAAGCCGTACAATGCGCATCCTATTGTAACTTGTGCAATAGTCGTCCTATATTATCATGTAGAATAGGAATACGGCTGTAACCTCTACAGAAGGAGTCCTAGTGTCAAGTTTACACTCGGTCTCCGATTGTATCATGTGCGCTAGGAACCCGGGCGTATCTTGCACAAGTAGAATTCAGTTGCAACCTGTACGTTCGGAATCATCTTGCAACTTGCGAAGGCAGTCCTAGCGCACACTGTGCAATAGGAATCCTGTTGTCAGTTGTATAGTAAGAATTCGGATGTAACCTCTACAATCGTTACTCGACCCTATGAAATAGGAATCCTATTGTGGAAGAGTGAGGAAGATCAGGAGGTGGACTACGACGAGGCGGATGGGAGGAAGGAGGAGGAAGATCGTGATCCCCAAATTCGAAGATTTGGGAGGGTCGCTGAGGGGGTCCAAGCCATCATATGTGTCAAAACACATGGGCACATGCTTTATATATACATATCTATAAATGTATTCATACATATATGCGCACATTGGGAAGGAGGAACATGGAGGAGGAGGATGAAGAAGAGGAGGGAGGAGGCGTTGGGAAAAAAAGGGGGCGAGGGAGGTGAGCCCGTTCGCGGGCGTGCCAGGCCATGCGCGGGCAAGCCCCGCAGCGAGCGCGCGCGTACGCCCGCTCGCCGGAGCACATCCCCCGCGCCGCCTCGCCGCAGCGGACGCCCTCGGTGCGCCGACGCGCGGGGCTCGCCCTGAAAGGGGCCTGCTGGGAGCCTGCGGCCGCCGCGCTAGCCGCGGACCGCGGTGTGGCCACGGGCGGCTCCCCCGCGGGAGGGCTGGCGCGGCCCCGCTCCTCCACGGGCGCACGGCTGCGGGGCAGCTGGCGGCCCCTGGACGCGGCCGCGGCTCGCCGGGGCCCCGCCTTCACGGAGCGCAGAGGAGGAGGATCAGAGGCGACGAGGAGGGCGAATAGCCTAGGGGGGAGCAGTAGCGCCTGTTTTTGGAAGTCTGGGCGGTAACGGCCGTCATCGGCCCGCTCCCCCCCCCTGTGTCACGTCATGCTATTTTGCCCACGTTTGCAAAGTTTTCCTACTGATTCTTGGAGGGTTTCCCAAGATTTCCTGCGGCCCCCCGCCGTGATGTGATCGGGGAGGACGAAGTCCCCCCCCCCCTCCCCCGATCACGTCCGTTATCGCGAACAACGAGGCTCCCGGGCGAATAGGTGCAATGCCCGCTCTGGCCTATTCGCCCTTATCGCCGCCGCCGAGAAGAGGTGCCGATGCCGCTGTACTCTTCCCTCGTTTTGGCCTTTCGGCGCCTCCCATGGGGGGCCCTCGTCGCCACGGCGGGGCTCTTTCTGAAAGACTGGTCAGGGCGTGCTCTGGGAGAGGTCAGGGGAGCAGCGGCACGGGCATACGTTCCCTGAGATCTGACGTGGACTGACTGTTTACGGAAGCTTCGCTAACAAGAGAAATCCGCGCAGAGAAAAGTTAACACAGGGCATGGCCGTGCTCGCGTCGCATGAGTGAGTGCGTCCAGACAGACGCACTCTGGTACACGAGCGCCTGATGGGCAAACGGGGCCCCGTACAATGCCATCGGCAACGGTAGTGGCCCGATGGGCCGCAACCGCTTCGGTGCTACATTTTCAGATCCGTTCAGATCTTTTTTTATTCCCGGAAAGGGCGCAGGCCCGGGGTTTTCTTTTAGCTGTTTACCCCTGGACCTGACTTGAGGTGGGCCGGCGGAATTATTCCCTGATAAATATCGAGGTCGAGGTGGGCCGGCGGAGTTATTTTTGAGGATGTCCCTAGCGAAACGCTTGTTTTTTTATAATTTGTTGAGGATGTCTCGAGCGAAACGCTGGTTTTGCAAAATTGGGGGATGTCTCGAGCGGGGGCCTCGTGGGGGGCCAGAATTCAGAGGATGTCTCTGGCGAAATGCTTGTTTTCACGTCCCGCTCGCAGGAATTCCGAGGATGTCTCGCGCGTGCCGCGTCCCGCGCGCAGGAATTCTGAGGATTTTGACAGGATGTCTCGAGCGAAACGCTTGTCCCCAGCACGTTCCGTAGCGCGTCCCCTTGGCACGTCCAACGGTGCGTCCCCATGGCACGTCCCTTGGCACGTCGCTTGGCGCGTCCCTTGAGACGTTCCGCGTCGCGTCCTCCTGGCATGTCCCCCTGTCAATTAGCTCTGGGGCAGCTACTATGTGTTCAGGCAGCTCGAGCTTAAGATCCAGATCAGTTCGGTCAGGACTCGGATGCAAAGGAGGACTCGATCCACGACGCTATAGAGCACAATCGCGGCATGGCACATCGCAATTCAGCACGGCGCAGCACAGCACAGCCCTCGGCACGGTACATCAAGATCGATACATTCAGCATTCAATTTGGCACGTTCCTTGGCACGTTCCGTGGGGCGTCCCTTGGCGAGTCCCCCTGGCACGTCGCGTGGCGCGTCCCCTGGCATATCCCGTGGCACATCCATTGGCACGTTCCGTAGCGCGTCCCCTTGGCACGTCCCGCGGTGCGACCCCATGGCACGTCCCCTGGCACGTCGCCTGGCACATCCCTTTGGGACGTTTCGCGGCGCGTCCTCCTGGCAGGTTCCCCTGTCCATTAGTTCTGGGTCAGCTACTATGTGTTCAGGCAGCTGGAGCTTAAGATCCAGATCAGTTCGGTCAGGACTCGTATGCAAAGGAGGACTTGATCCACGATGCTATAGAGCACAATCGCGGCATGGCACGTCGAAATTCAGCACGGCGCAGCACAGTACAGTCCTCGGCACGATACATCAAGATCGATACACTCAGCATTGCAACTTGGCTCGTTCCTTGGCACGTTCCGTGAGGTGTCCCTTGGCGAGTCCCCCTGGCACGTCGCGTGGCGCGTCCCCTGGCACATCCCGTGGCACATCCATTGGCACGTTCCGTAGCGCGTCCCCTTGGCACGTCCTGCGGCGCGACCCCATGGCACGTCCCCGCACGTCGCCTGGCACATCCCTTGGGACGTTTCGCGGCGCGTCCTCCTGGCAGGTTCCCCTGTCCATTAGTTCTGGGTCAGCTACTATGTGTTCAGGCAGCTCGAGCTTAAGATCCAGATCAGTTCGGTCAGGACTCGGATGCAAAGGGGGACTCGATCCACGAGGCTATAGAGCACAATCGCGGCATGGCACGTCGCAATTCAGCACGGTGCAGCACAGCACAGCCCTCGGCACGGTACATCAAGATCGATACCTTCAGCACTGCATGTGCCCGTCACCCAATCAGGTGTCTTTGAAAACGCTGCCGTGTGTTACAGTTCTATACTCCTTTCCGGGTTCGTGGGTCGATCATGTCAGATGAATCGCCAAACGGGGCTTCAATCGGAAAACGTGACCAGAGTTTATTGTTTCAAGCACTGGGGGCACCTCAGCACGTTTCCACCGACGTGTAAATTTTCAGGTCGGGTCTGAAAATCCGTAGGGGTTTCTCCCCCTGTCGCCGGCCCCCTCTCTCGGATAGTGGGCAATGCAGGAGCGAAATCATGAGGCCTTGGCGCCTCCGTAAAGCAGCGTCGGGATTTCACGCGAAGACGATGAGTAATCGGCAAGACAACTTGATATTCTGATGGTATTGTTGAATTCGGTGTTGTATTTCGAGCTTGCTCTTGTATGCTGTGCAACAAGCTGTTCTACGAAGCATTGAAATGTTGCAAATCCCATGTGTTTTTTGACCATCTGCGTGAGGGGTGCCACCGAATTTGAAGACATGTGGCAAATCCCATGTGTTGTTCCACCCTGACCCCGCCAATCTGCATGAGGAGTGCCACCGAATTTCGGAAATGTGGCAAATCCCTTGTTTTTGGACCCTGTTCCCGCCGATCTGGCAAATCCCATGTGTTGTTTGACCCTGACCCCGCCGATCTGCAAGAGGGGTGCCACCGAATTTCAGAAATGTGGCAAATCCCTGGTGTTTTTGGACCCTGACCCCGCCGATCTGTGTGCGGGGTGCCGCCGAATTTCAAGACATGTGGCAAATCCCATGTGTTTTTCCACCCTGGCCCCGCCGATCTGCGTGAGAGGTGCCACCGATGTGGTTTTAGACCCTGACCCTGCTGATCGGCGTCAGAGGTGTCGCCGAATTTAAGAAATGTGGGAAATCCCATTGGTTTTTTCGACCCAGACCCCGCCGATCTGTGTGCGGGGTGCCGCCGAATTTGAAGACATGTGGCAAATCCATTATGTTTTTGGACCCTGACCCCGCCGATGTGCGTGAGAGGCGCCGCCGGATTTTAGAAATGTGGCAAATCCCATGTGTTTTTAGACCCTGACTCTGTTTATTTGCATGAGAGGTGTCGCCGAATTTTGGAAATATGGCAGATCTCATTGGTTTTTGGACCCTGACCCCGCCGATCTGCGTGAGGGGTGCCACTGAATTTTAGAAATGTGGCAAATCCCATATGTTTTTGGACCCTGACCCCGCCGATCTGCCTGAGGGGTGTCAATTTCGACCCCCCAGAAATTCTGAGACCCCTCCCGGGAGGTGCTAACCAGGGCGGTTTTCAGCTCCCCCCCCCACCTCGCGCGGTCTACAACAAGGAACAGTGAGCAACAAGAAGCAGAACTGTAACAGGGGAAACTGAAAACTGGAACTGGCGCAGGGAACAGCAAACCCTTGTCCTACAGCCTGGTGGCCCCACAAGGGGGCCGGCGGATGGCCATTTCGCTCGAGACATCCTCCAAAAATCGAGGTGTTGGAGGCTATCGTTTAAGACCATCTTGAAACCGAGAGGAGCACGGCAGACCAAGACGAGGAGCACGGCAGACCAGGCCCCAAGAGCGCCCTCAAGACGACGGAAAGGAGGACCAGGACGAGGAGCACGGCAGACCAAGACGAGGAGCACGGCAGACTATGCCCTAAGAGTGCCCTCAAGACGGCCGAACAATCATCAAACAAACAATGAGTCTAACGTCGTCTTGGAATCGTTTTTGAGGGCATCAGTACGGCCCCCCAAAAACAGAATCGGCCCAAAGATGACCCGCAGAGTGCCCTCAATACGGCCGAACATGAGGATTTCGCTGGGGACGTGTTCAATAGATTAAGAGTGTATCAGCACCGTCTGTTGCAACAGCGCTGTGCTGGTCTGCCGTTCTCCTGTGGTCAGCTGTGCTGGTCTGCCGTGCTCCTGCGGTCTGCCGTTCTGGTCTGCCGTTTTGGTCCGCCGTGCTCCTGTGGTCTGCCTTCCTGGTCTGCCGTGCTGCTGCCGTCTGTCGTGTTGCTGCGCTGTGCCGTGTAAGCTGATAAACCGGTCAGACCGATGAAAAAAACGAGAGTCGGGTTACAACGGCTACGCAGATTTAAACTGCTAGTCCAAAGGCTCTCCAGAGGACCCCAACATCTCCCAAGCACACCCCGAGAAGTCATCATCATCATCATCATCATCATCATCATCATCATCATCATCATCATCATCATCATCATCATCATCATCATCATCATCCTCATCCTCATCATCATCATCATCATCATTATCATTATCATCATCATCATCATCATCATCATCATCATCATCATCATCATACGCATGCCCAGGACCACGATCATCATCGTCATCATCATCCACACCATCAGCATCATCATCACCATCGCCACCATCACCATAAGTATAATCATCATTCGTAGCATCATCGTCATCCTCATCGTCATCGTCATCGTAATCATCATTATCATCATCACCACCATCATCACCATACTCATACTCATACTCATCATCATCCTCCTCCTCATCATCATCATTATTATCATCATCGTACGCATCACCATCACCATCAGCAGCAACATTTTGAAAAATGACCGTTTCTCTCGAGAAATCTTCCAAAAATCGGCCCAAGAGGGGACTCCGCATCGACGCCGTGTTCGAATCGCTCTTGGAGTGTTTTCCAACGGCCCCGGAGAGCCCCAGGAGCGCCCAAGAGCGCCCCAAGAAGACCCCAAGAGACCCCCAAGAGCGCTCTAGGAGCCACCCAGACAGCTCACAATAACCCCAAGACGGCCCGAGAAGGGCCAAGAAGGCCCCAATAGACTCCTGGGAGCGCCCCAGGAGGCCCCCAGCGCCGAGACGGCCTAAGAAAGCTCCCACAGAACCCCACGACGCGCCCAGACAGCCCAAGAAGACCCCAGAAGCCCATAAGAGGACACAAGGGGCCCCCAAGAAGCCCCCAACAGGCCCAAGAGAACCCCGCGCGGCGCGAGGAGCAATGTCTTTCTCCAATTGCCTCGTACTGTCCTCTGTCGTCGTCGTTGTCGCCGTCGTCATCATCGCCCTCCGCATTCCTCCTCGTACTCGCCCTCGTTCTCTGCGTCCTCGTCCTTCTCTTCCTCCTTGTTGTCCTCATGCTCCTCCTCGCTATCCGCACGTTCGCCACGTCGTCCTCGTCATCGACTCCTCGTTGTCCTCGCCTTCCTTTTCTTCTTCGCCCAATACGCCCATTAGACTACAGCGGCGCTTCCCGTTCTTGTCCGATCAGGTTTCCCGTTGGCGCGCATCTAGCATTTTTAACAGGGAAAACCCGTTCAGGTCCGACCTGAAAAAAGGCGTCCTCATCGGACACCGCCACCAGGCCACGTATATCCACACACGGGGGGGACTTGGGCATTTTCAGAACGACCTGAACGTTTTCCCATCGAACTTGCCAATCATCGTCCGGCGCGTTTGGCACAGTGGTTGTTCTGCGGAAGGCCCAGGTCTACTTCGGAATGTTCAGGCCCAGCCAGACTGACATATCCCAGATTGCTGCTTCCTACACACCCCGCAGGCGACGAAGATGAGGACTGCGAAACGCGAAACCGACTTCTCGCGGATGATAAGGAGTTCGTGGGGTGATTTTTGGGGGTGCAGTCCATGTGCACAGCCCGATTCTGGCAATGAAGCCCCGGCATGATCGTCGCCATCACCGTCGCCATCGCGTGCCTACAAGACCTCCCTGTGAGCGGAGATAGGAGGCACGAGGGACGCGAAACCGATTTCTCGCGAGCGGGGAATGTGGGCACTGGAAGCACGAAATCTATTTCCCGATCAGGGCCCCGAGCTCTGAATAGAAGAACATCCGTCGTCGCCATCGCGGAGACGACTGAGCCGAATTCGCTAAACAACTTTTATAGCTGCCGACGCCATGCAGCGAAACGTTGCAACACTGTAAAAGAATCGCGGCACCCCAGGACCAATTTGTCTGCGCCATCTTCCGAGCCTGATGAGGGCTCTCGGGCCCAAAACCGGTCGACAGCGCCCGGCCCGAAGCAATTGCAACGCCCGGATCTCTGGGCACCTGCAGTCTTCCACCGAAAGGACCAACTACACGTAAGAGTGACCCTTCGCTGGAGTGACCTTTGGTGCGGGCTCATCGGGCCCCCCCGATCGCTGAGCACATGGCCCTCGCCCCCCGCCCCCCCTATGACGTAACGCTCCCCCCCCAGTGCGCTCCAGGCACTGCCGCCGTGCGCATTGGGATCAGCGTAGGTGTGCGCATAGGAGTCCGCATAGGAGTTTGGTCCGCAGTCGTCGACGTCGTCGTCGTCGTCGTCGTCGTCGCTCGTGGCTCGTGGCTCGCGGCTCGTCGCTCGTCGCTCATCGTCGTCGTGCGCGCGGACGCGGCTGGAGCCTTTTTTATATATTCCGGGCCGATGACGGCAATCATCTGGGAGGGTGGAGGGGGTCGATGGCGTCATGTCGCGCCGGCGGCGCCTGGGAATGCCTAGGAATGACGGAGGACGGGTGGCACCAGCATGTAGGTGGCGATCTGCACCGCAACGCCTGTGTACACTTCAGTGCCTGCGTGCACCACAGCGCCTGTGTACACCACACCGCCAATGTACACCACAGCAGCCGCGTGCAACACAGCGTCAGTTTGTGCCACGACGCGCGCGGGCACAACAGCTCTTGTGTACACCACATCGCCTGCGTACACCACATCGGCCGTGTGCAACAAAGCGGTGTACACCACAATGCCTGCGTGCATTGCAATGCCTGTGTGCACCACGGCGCTGGTGTGCACCACACTAACCGTGTGCAACACATCACCAATGTTGTATGTAGAATGTTAGAAGGAATCTGTATGACAAAATGCAGCGTTTGTAGATTCCACCGAAGACGCCAGAAAATAATCCTTAATGACAAGGGAGCGCCAGGGGAATCTACGAGTCCTTCCGAGTTCGCCCGCATCACCGTAACTCCTCCCATCTGCGTCCAGGAGGCTCCAGCTAAATTGGCCGTCCGAGAACCAAGTGGGCCGATTCAGTAGACCAGTCTGCGGTGCGCGCTGAGTTGCGCACGTGCGCTGTAGCGCCAAACCACACGACAGGGGGTAAGGAGGAGGAGGAAAAGGAGGAGGAGGAGGAAAAGAATAAAGAGGAGGAGGAGGTGGAAGTGGAGGAAAACGGAAGAGGGAAAAACGCCGCATTCGATTATCAGCACTTTCCTGGCGTGGCGCTTCCGCAGCAGATCCTCACGTACAGGCTCCTTCTACCTGTCCGATGCACGCAGGCATCGTGGTGTACAATAGTGCTGCGTTGCACGCGGATGCTGTGGTGTAGACAGGCGCTGTGGCGTGCACAGGCGCCGCGGTGCACGCAAGCACTGTGGTGTTCACAGGCGCTGTGTTGCACATGGCTGCATCTGGTGTGCACGTGCACACCGGCGCTGTAGTGTGCGCAAGCACTGCAGTGTACACAGGCGCTGCGTTGCACACGGTTGTTGCGATGTGCGCAGGCGCTGTGGTGTACACGCGCGCTGTGGTGCACGCGAACGCTGTGGTGTACACAGGCGCAGGGGGGCAGATCGCCACCTACATGCTGCTCGCGTCGTCGTCGTCGTCGTCGTCGTCGTCGTCGTCGTCCTCGTCGCTTGTCGCTCGTCGCGTCGTGCGCGCGGGCGCGGCTGTGGTGCGGGAGACACGGCGGGGGGGGGGGGGCGTTACGTCATACCCCCCCCCGCCCCCCCCCCTATGACGCCCGTCATCGCCGAGCATAAAGCAACGCTCTCGACAGCGGCTGACTGCGCGCGTGCACTTGCCCACCTTGCGCCCCCTTGCTCGTGCACCAAAGGTCACTCTCAACTAGGGGCACGTCCTGCGTGCAGCCCAGAGGAGCTCTGCGCCCAGGAGGGCATCGCGGTGGCCGACCTGGGCCCCGCGGTGGCCGCGGGAGGCGCCGTCGCCTGGCCTTCGGAGGGCGCCAGCGGCTCGAAGGCCAGCCGCGCGGGGCCCCCGCCGTCGCCCCGGAAGGCCGCCGCGGCCGCCCCAGAGGCGCCAGCCAGCAGTGCGGGCGGTGCCGTAGCGCACGCTGGCGGCGTCGCCGGGGCCCTGGCCGCCACCAGGACTTCAGAGGCGACGGTGGGGCGAACAGCCCAGCGGGGAGCAATACATGCGTCCAGGGGCCCCGATGATGTCTAAGTCTTCGGCGAGGCTCCAGGGGTGTGCAATTACGTGTAGTGCCCGTCCCTTGGCTATTCGCCCTTATCGATCGTCGTCGCGATTAAGTCGGGCATGTCCCTGTTCAGGAAGAAGATTCAAGAATAGACTCGTACTATCAGACAGCAGTTTTTGTTGTTGTTGCTGTTGCTGTTGCTGCCGATGTTGAATTCTCACTGCTGAAGAATAATTATTGTTGATCCCCCCCACCGGTGCATACTGTGTTTTCTCAATCAAAGTGTGCCCCTCGACGCTCGCACCCTGTTTTTTGACAGGGAAGGTCTTCATGCTCAAACCGGGCCCCTGGCCCCCGGGTTACAACAACAACGGCTCCCGCCTGAGACTTCCTTACAATTTAGCCATGACCCCCGCTCCCGCCCGAGACTTCCTCGCATTTTTTTCAGGAATCGCGCTCTCGCTGGGGACTTCCATGCAATTTATTCAAGAATCGCTCTCCCGGCGCTCTGGAGTCGCGCTCTCGATGGAGACTTGCGTTGGAATTTCCTGCAATTTGCCCAAGCGCCGCGCTCCCGACACCCAGGCACCCAGGAGTCGCGCCCGTTGTGGCCCCATGTGCATGCCCTTCGTGGCCCCGCTGTCGCCATTTGTGTCCCCCTCACTGTCCTACGTGGCCCAGTTGCTACCCTCAGTGGCCCCATAGTTGCCTTCTGTGGCCCCGCATTATCTGCACTTCGTGGCCCCCGCTCGTTCGCGCTCTTCGTGGCCCCATACGCATTCCCTTCGTGTCCCCGCTGTCGCCCTTCGTGGCCTACTTCGTGCCCTTCGTGGCCCTGCTGTCGTTCTCTCTCGCTCTCGCTTTCGCTCGTCGTCGTCGTCGTCGTCGTCGTCGTCGTCGCCGTCGTCTTCGACGTCGTCGTCGTCGTCGTCGTCGTCGTCGTCGTCGTCGTCGTCGTGGTCGGTCCCCTGTCCGTCCCTCTTGGGGTCGGGTCGACGGTCCGCGGCCGCCCCGCCGATCAGCGCTGCCGCTGGCCAGGCCGACGGTCCGCGGCCGCCCCGCCGCTTGCCGGGGCCCGGCCTGCAGGGAAGAAAGGTATACCCCCCAAAAGGGGTTCGATCGAAGACGAAGAGGGCGGGTATCGAGGGTTTGGGAAATACGCGTTATTGGACACTCGAGCATATAAGGGCGAACAGTCTGATGATTATTGTTGTTGTTGCTGTTGCTGTTGCTGTTGCTGTTGCTGTTGTTGTTGCTGCCTATTTTCGCCTTTCTTTCAAAAGCCGCCTGCAGGAGGTCATGCCGCCGTTAGGGGCGAATGGCTCAGTGGGGAGCAATACGTGTGTCCAGAGGCGCCGATGGTCTATGCCTTCGGCGAGGCTTCCGGGCGAATAATCTCGTGTAATGCCCGCCCCTGGGTTATTCGCCTGTCTCGTCGCCGCCGAGGACCCCCAGCCTGCCGTCGCGCCCTGCAATGCGAGCCGTGTCTGCCAGCCCGCCGGCGCGGCCGATGACGGCTGGCGCCTGCCGGCCGGCTGCGGGGACACCGCAGCGCCTGGCGCGGAAGGCGGTGGCGTCGGCACCGATGGTGGGCCTCGTGGGCCTCGGGCTGCGGCGGTCCAGCGGCTCGCCCTCGCCGTGGGAGCGCGGTGCGCCCAGCGCCGGCGCGCGGGACTTCAGCAGGTTCGGCCAGGCAGGGGCGCTCACGGTCGCGAAGTGCGAGCCTCAGGAGAGCACAGCGGGAGGGACCGTGGCGGAGGACGCCCCGGCGGGCTTCGGCCTGAACGGCGGCTGGGGCACGCCAACTCCGCACCGACACCGCTCCTGGCCAGGCACCCCCTGGGCCCATGATCGGCTTATACGTTATGTGTTATATAACTACACTAGAGAGTTGAGTCACGCGCGTTTTCTGCGCGCTCAGGCTCTAGACTCAGGCACTTGCTGCATGCCTATTCTGTGTCTACGCTCCATCCCGTAGTCCCATTCATTTCGTGTTTCCTCGCCCTCCTCATCCTCATATCTCCTCCTTCTCCTCCTCCTCCTCCTCCTCCTTCTCCTCCTCCTCCTCCTCCTCCTCCTCCTCCTCCTCCTCCTCCTCCTCCTCCTCCTCTCTGACGCCAGCAGTATCGACTCCAGCACCAACTCCGGCACACACGTCAGCAGCATCGACGTTGGCGCCGACTCTGGCACCGACGCCAGCGGTACCCACGCCAGCACTGACTCGGCGCCGACTCCGGCACCGACTCCAGGGGCATCGACGCCAGCACCGACCTTCGCATCGTCGCCAGCAGCATCCACTCCGGCACCTACTCTGACACCAACGCCTGCAGCATGGACGCTGGCACCGACTCCAGCATCATCGACGCCAGCACAGACTGCGACACCGTCGCCAGTAGCATCGACCCTGGCGCCGACTCCAGCACCGACGCAAACAGCATCGCAGCCGCCGCCGCTGACGACGCCAGCACCGACTCCACCTCTAACGCCATCAGCGTCGATGCTGGCACCGACTCCAGCATCGACGTCAGCAGCACCGACGCCAGCACCGACTCTTGCACCGACGCCAGCAGCATCCACTCCGACACCGAATCCAGCAACGACTCCAGCAGCATCGACGCCAGCACTTGTACTTGCACCGGCTGCGGCACAGACGCCAGCAGCATCGGTGGTGGCATCACCGACGCCAGCATCACCGACGCCAGCACGGGCAGCACAACTGATAGTTACCATGAGCTCACGATCATCTCCGCGAACAGCACGACGAATGCCATGACCAGCAAGACGAAGTCCATGACCATTATGGATCAGGGTAAACGCTTGTCCCGTAGCGTGCACAGTTCCGACTCCAATGGAGAATCTACATGTCACGGAGTCGGCGCGTCACGGACTCTGTGCGAGACGACATTCCGCAGCGCAGAGTCTAAATGCCACAGAGTTGGTGCATTAGTCAAGTGTGATGGTGCACAGAAGAATTTGTGCCGACAGGATGCACCACCAGCCCCACACCCAGCCCGACGTCCAGCCCACTGGCCAGCCCCACGCCCTGCCCCACGTTCGGCCCCCCATGCCCCACCCCACGCCCAGCCCCGCTCTCAGCCCGACGTCCAGCCTGACGATCGGATGACCCCAACTCCAGGGCCTACGCCAGCACCGACGCTAGCACCGAAGCCTGGACCACCGCCATCACCAACCCAGAGCCAGCAACAAAACAGGGGGCGGTCAATTGCGAGACCATCTACGCGGAGTGGCCCGCTCCCGCGGCCCCCACGTCCGCCTCCCGAGCTCGGCACTTTCTGTAGATGGAGCTTCCTTTCCTGCCCGCTCCACCGACGCTCTACCCGACGCCCAATCAACGCCCGATTGACGCACTACCCAACTTCCTGCTCGACGCCTTATCTGAAGCCCAGGCCTACGCTCTGCACGGCACCAACTCCGACGCCTGCACTAGCACCGGCGCTAGCACCATCGCCATGACCTACGCGGCATCAATGCAGGGCTTCCACTTGCACCGACGACAGCGTCGACGCCAATACCCTCGCCGGCAACTACGCTGGCCCCCGCACCAGCACTACCGCTGGCACCGGCGACAGCACCGGCGACTGCGCCTACGCTGGTCTCAATGTTTGCTGCTCCAGAATACATCGACTACGTTGCTTGCCCCGACGCCTGCACCAGTTCAAGCAACACGGCGCTGAACATCTGGGGGCGGAAATGCGGGCAGTTATTATTCCTTTTCGCGGCCGTCTCATGAGCATCACGACGGTTACACGAGTACGACGGGCACCATGTGGGCGAGTACCAGGAGCAGCACGACCGGCTCCTTGAGCAGCATAGCAAGTTGGATTTCTGAGGTCCTGCTTGCCTGGGGCGCGCCCTGCCAAGAGGCCCCGCGTGGACCCAGGCGTTTGCTCCACTCCTCCTCTGGTCTTCCCTCTGGCCCCACCGCGTAGTGGCGGCAGCCAGCCCGCTCAGCGAAGCAAAGTATTGCAATTGCAGTCTCAGCTGGATCCCGATGGCGACCGAGCAGCGACGCGAATCATTGTGTAGGGGACTCTGCTGGGGATCCGAGGCCTGGTCAAGGTCAAGCCTCCCTTTTGCGTGATCGGTGTCCGCTTGCATTCTGATGATGATGAGGAGGAGGAGGAGGAGGACGAGGAGGAGGATGGAGGAGGAGGAGGATGGAGGAAGGCGGAGGAGAAGGAAGGAGGAAGGAGGAGGAAGGATTCTGAGACGATACGCTTCCTTAAGGGGTGGAAGGTCCCCTGGTGGATGGCCTTGGCCGGGCATCCACCTCTGAGGGCCAAACGGCCGGCATCGAACGTCAGGGCGCTCCTGCTTTGGGCCCGATGCACCCGCGGGGGGCTCTACTTCTGTCACGGAGAACGGTGTGGCGTACCAAGTGGGTGACATATGCACGGGCCCTGAGGTCCGTGACCCGCCGTCGTCGGCGCCTGCCGTGTTCCTGTTTATGGCCGGGGCAGCTCGGTAGCGGCTTACGCCGCCGTGTGCGCCTCGGGGAGATGCCGCCGTGTTCCAGCTCATTTCAGGTGCAGCTCGTTGGGAACTTACGCTGCCATGCGCGTCTCGGCGCAATCTAAAACGCGATGGAAAGGATGGGACGGGAGCGTTGCCGCGATCCTGCTCGTGGCAAGGACTGCTCGCCAGCGGCAGGCGCCACCGCGCGCGTCTCGGCGCAAGCAAGAAGTGGCGAGACAAGGATAGGACGGACGGGAGGTGCTGCCGCTTACCTGCTCATGGCAGGGGCAAGCGGCAAGTCGGTGGCGGCTTTCGCCTTTGTGTCCGTTTCGGCGCAACCTAGAAATACGAGCGGGGATGGGATGGGTGATGCTGCCGTTCTCCTGCTCATTGCAGGGGCAGCTCGATGTCGGCTTACACCGCCGTGTGCGCCTCGGCGTCACTTAGAGATGAAGTTTTGATCCAAAACGAGGCCGCCCCGAAAACCCAGACGTGAGTCCAGGGACCCCCCCCCCGGGGGGAGTCCACGGGCGGCCCGTGGACTCAAAGGGGGGGGGGTCCCCGGGACTCGCCTCGGGGCCGTTTTCAGCCGCTTCGCCTCGGGTCCCGGCCAGAGGAAACAAAAGCCGCTTTCAGGCCGCCGACGGCGTCTTTAAGGCAGTCTAAAAGCAGACTTGTGCGGCCTTCGCAGACCCAAGGGCCGTCTGGGAGAGGAGGAAGGAAGGAGGAGGAGGAGGAAGGAAGAAGGAGGAAGGAGGGCGGAGGGAGGAAAGAGGAGGAGGAGGAAGGAGAAGGAGGAGCAGACGGAGCAGAAGGAGGAGGAGGAGGAGGAGGAGGAGGAGGAGGAGGAGGAGAAAGAGGAGGAGGAGGAGAAAGAGGAGGAGGGAGGCGGAGGAGGAGGAGGAGTGTCCGTTTGTGTTTTGCGGCAGGTTTGCCTGGCCTCCTCTCGCGGCCGCGGGCGGCCGACCCCTTCTTCGTGGGCGGCTGGCCTCTCTCCGCCGCCCTCTGGGTGACCAGGGCCGTTCCGGGGCGTTTCTGCGCCCTGGAACGGGAAAGCCACACCTCTGCCTTGTCTGTACGCCTCGGTGGTTGAAAGTAGGCCTTCCTGCCTCAAGAGTCGATCTGCTTCTGCCGTGTATTGTTCTTCTCTTGGGGGGTCTGAACCAGTCTACTTTGGCCGCCGTCCCACTCCGTGGTTTTGCCTGCCTCTTCCGACCGACGCGTACAGGTGACAGCTTTCGACGCTGCTGGCCTGACTGTCTGCTCTCTCTCTCGCTCTCTCTCTCTCTCTCTCTTTATCTGTCGCTCTTTCTCTTTTTTTGTTTCTCTCTCTCTCTCTCTCTGCACTCTTGCACGTGTGTAGCCCGTTGGCTGCGCGCGTGCTTTCTTCTCTCCCTCTCTCCTTCTCTCCGCTACTCGTTGCTCCCGGCGTACCCGTGCGAGGTACGTACCAAGGTACCACTGACCGTGGCGTCCGCGAGGGTACGTACACATTGTGCGCATGCCTCGCAGCGTTTTCCTTCCGCTGGTGTGGTGCCAGCGCTTCTTCTTCCTCCTCCTCCGCCTCGCCCCGTCGCCGCTCGTCTTGTGTTTTGTGCCACGGGCTCCTTCTTCTTGCACGCCGGACAATTCGCCTTTCGGCTGCCCCGATTAGCCCCACGCTGGTGCGGACTGCCTCTGCCTCGACGCAGACGAAAAATGTTTTGTGCCACGCTGTGGCATGGCAGGCCGCACCTGTGCTTGTGCTCTCGTGAGCTCGCTGGCCGTCATGCGATCCTCTGTCTCGCGCTGCGCGCGCAGCTTTGCTGTGGCGGCATGCAGCGATCGAGGATGAGGTCTTCGCGTGCCTGGATCTTACCGAAGAATGCCCCCCCTCGCAAGCATAGATGGAAGAGAAGGGAGCAGTGTAGGGGAAGCGGGGGAGGAGGGCTGGAGGGGAGGACGGGCGAGCTTAGCTGCCTCGATACGCCCGACTTGATACGCGAGACGTGCCGTGCTCAACACGTCCGTGTCAGTACGTTGCGTGTTCGTTCAACGTATTGGCCCACGTTTTGGCGAACGTACCGCGTGAGAGCTACGTGTTCAGATTACGCGCTGGGCTCCGTATCAGTGCGCTACGTGGTGCGCTCTGCGTGTCGGAGCAGCTCGGGGGACGAGGGGCAGGGACGGCAGCGGCGCGGGGAACGGCCGCCGCCGCGGGGGCCCTGGAGAGAGAGGCTGTCGCAGCCCTGCCTGCTGGCTTCTGATATGAAGCCTCTTTGCTCTCCGAGGAGGTTTCTGGGAACGAGCTTCGGAAAGCAAGCTTCGAAGGAGCTTCGCTCGATGGGAGCTGCGAAGAACCTGCGGCAAGGCTTCAGGCACGCGCCCGCTTGCGCCAGAGGCCGCTACGGTGTCGGCGGCGCTTGCCCGACGGCACACGTTCGGGAGGGGCAAGTGGTCTGGCATCGCTCGGACGTGTGAGTTTCTGGCGAGGGCAATCGAGGAGCATCTAGGGTCATCTTGGGGAAAAATAGACGCACGAAGCCGGCGCAAAAACAGGAGGGATGGACGTCCGAGCGATGGCGAGGTGGGGGGGGGGGGGCGAGGATCTGGGAGGCCCATGGCAGGACGCCAGAAAAGCCCCGAGCGTACAAGATCAGTGCCCGAAATCAAGTGGGCGACTCCACAAAACGGGGTCGTTTGCGCCGACATTGGCGCGTAAGCTGCCCGCGTGAGGTCGCGCTCAAGCGCCCTCGCTTCAAATGTGGTGTGCCGCTCTGGCGGCTGCGTAAATCACCGCGACAGGTCGCTATCCCATCTCGCGTAAGACCGTTGTTCGCTCGTCGCTCAAGTGACGACAGAGGAAGGAGGCGGAAAGCGCGGACCTTCGCCCGCGTGCTCTCCGCGCAAGGCCGCGCGAAGGCGCCCCTCGCTCCCGCGCGGTGTGCCGTGATGGTGGGCTGCGCCAGCCGCTCGGCAAGTCCGTTTTGTCCTCTCGTGCAAGGTAGGCTCGCGGCGCGTCGACGCGGCGGCGACACCTGGGCGGGCGTTCTTCAAGGTTGGGCTCCACCAGCTGCCTGCACATACCGAACACTGTGGTGAAGGTGTCGCACCCGATCCGAAGGAGCACGCACCCTGGTTGAAAAATCCAGCAGGTCCTCGGGTCATAGACGGGGTAAAACACGATGAGGGCATGCAATCAGGACCCAGCCACTCGGCACGGATTGGGCGATTTCTGGTGTCGCAGAGCGGCGATCAGTGGGGGCCGTTCGCTCCGCGGTGTGGAAGGAAGCAACGCCCGTGCCGTCGCGACGGGCGTCGCACGTCGGCGTTGGCGTCGGCGTTGGCGGCGCTTGCTTTGGCGTCTGCCTCGGCTTTGGGCGTCGGCGGCGTCGCCGTCGGTGAACGTCTGCGACCCGTTGCGAAACCTACCCCTGCGGGTGCAATCTACGGTGAGGCGTCGGACGCCCCTGGTGGAGTTCGCCTGGCTGCAGACAGCTTTCGAGTTCTGGATTCAGGCCGGCGCTTCAGAGTCCGACCTGTCAGGGGTCGGGTTCGCATGTGTCAGGAGGGGAAAGAGCACGCAGGCACACATGTTCGTCGATCCCCCGGAAGATCTATTTGAAACTATGGGCAAGGAGGGGGGCTGGGAAGACGAAGTCCTGGGACTTGTGTCTATTTGTTCGCGTGTCCCTGGGCCCCTTCCGTGTGGTCGCCCCGCGCGGCGCCCCGTGCCCGCCTGCGAGGCGGAGGCGATGCCGCCCCCTCGCGGCCCACGGCGGCCACCGCCCTCGCGCACCGGGCGTTGCCCGGCGGCGGCGGCCTGAGGCAGCCCTCCCGGCCCCCGCGGGTGGAGAACATTTCCACATCCACGGCCTCGAACTACAGGCGACATCCACATCTCCACATCTCCACATCCACATCTCCGGCGATTCTGGCGACTCAATTTTTCCAAGCCGGGCGTTTTCGCGCAGCTTCGGGCCCTGGGACCCTCACAGAGGATCCGGCTCGAAAAGTGCCGCAGAGAGAGATGGGGTCCGGGGAGCTCCAGTCACAGTCGTGATTTCTCATGATGTCCAAATTTGTTCGAGACGCCGGACCTCAGGGAATGTGGCCTGCTCGTGGCCTGGGCCCGCCGTGGCCACGAAAACACCTCGGGTCCTTACAGCACGCGTTCCTTAGAGCCTGTGTTTTTAGATTCAGGTAAGTTTACCTGCATGTCGCTCGCCCCCCCTCCCCCTCCCCATCGCCCCTCTCCGAACGAACACCAGCGTGCAAGCGCCCTTCGACGTGCGTGACCTCCGCACGTGCACGTCGTCTTTGCGGCTTGCTTCAGGTGCAGGGCCCCCCCCGCCCATGCGAGCAAATTTCCTGGGGCCTGGAAACGGGGCCCTGCTCTCACACGGCATCACGATGACTGCACCGTCCGCCGCTCGTGAGGTCCTCGCCGGCCTTGGGGCAGCCGCGCGGCTGGGCCCAGCGGGTGCCGGCGGGCGCGGTGGACACCGCCGTGGACCCCGTGGCGGCCTCCGTGGCCTCGTGGGCCTCGCCGCCGGCGTCGGTCGCCTGCAGGCCCTCGAGCGGCGCGCGGGGGCCTCGCCCGCGCCGCGACGATGCCCGCAGAGGTCCAACGCATTGACAACATCAGCTCGGAGGTTTTTCGCAATTTCGGCCTCTCTATGGGCCCTCGCCGGGCCCCGGGACTGTCGACAAACGATTCAGGATGAAACGCCGGTCCTGGGGAATGGGTCGAGACTTCCCGGGACACCGTACTGAAAAAATCACGTCGTCGGATCTCTGGGATCCCGCTGCCGCCGGATTTAGTGTTGGATTTAGTGCCCCATCTTCCCACATCGGGCACGCTTCGAGCGGCGCATCAATTTACTTTTGGTCCAACGCTTCGGTCGAACGTGCCCAGTTCGTTTCCCTCGACTGTTTCCCTTGCGGGAGCCTCTGGACTTACCTTTTGGAGGAGACTGTTTAAAGAAGCTTCGTCCAAGGTTCCGCTTGTGCAAGCACTGTTGCACCTGATTGTAATTGGCATAGATGGCGACAGCCTCGTCTTCATCGAAAATCACGCCCTCGGGCATGTCCCCAGTTGCGAAGAACACGTCTTCGTCATCCATGTACTTGAGAGCCTCAGTCAGGATCTCGTCTTCCCCGTAGGACTCGGGCAAGGTAAACGGAGACTGTTCCATGAGAATCCAATGGGAGTCATCGGTGTCAGATTCCTGGTCCTTGTATCCGTCTTCGTCTCCTTGGTACCCGACGAAGTGTGAGGCGGATCTCATTCCATGAATACGATGGCCGTTTTTTACCTGAGGGTAGTGGACGCTCAAGCTTCCGAAGCTTCCCACACACCATGCCAAAATCATATGATCCCTCAGTCCAGTGCTCAACCGTATTCCAAGTGGCTTCATTGAGCTTGAATTCTCTGAGAAGCATGTATCCCTAAAATTCCTTCGGTCGGATCACGTGCTTCTCAAGTTCTCGGAAGAGCACTCGCTTGCGAGCGATGGTGGACCAGGGATTCGTCTCGCTTACTCTTGGTGTCGTCGGATTAGAACAACTTTTCAAAAGCCTTCGGCATTCTGCGGTCTTGGTACTCGTCGAAGGCCTTCTTAATATGTTTGACCACAACTTGCCCGCTGTCCTCCGGGCACAGCTGGTCTCCGGTGAGTTCGTTGATAATAATATCGAGGTCATCTTTGGCGTAGCGGTAAATGAGGTATCCGTGTCGTTGCTTCACGGTTCTGATCGTCGTGAGCCACGTCTGCAATTCCTTCATGTAAGGATCCAAACAAGTGTCAGGTTCTTTTCCATCCCAAGTGGGAAGTAGGTCGTTTGGCATTTTTGGGGCCTCCGATTGTTCAGAAAATTGTCCCCTCTGGCGATCACAAGATCTGGCAGCGGTATCTCCCCAATAAGTCGGAGCGATCAGAGTTAAAAGCGCAGCTTGTCCCCGCAGAAGCGTGTTCAGCCGTGCTGGTGCAGCCGGCGAACCACGGCCCCGCGCGTTCCAATTTGATGAGGATGATTGCATCGTGGGCTGTGTCTCCGTCCAGGGCTGTGAGAACCAGCGGGCCCAGTCTTGATCTGACCAGCCCACATCGTCATCACCGTCCCAAGGAACGTCTTCTCGTTCTCCGCCTCCTGTCCAAGGATCCTGTCCTGGCTGTGGCCAAGGATCCGCTGGAAATTCATCTTGACGAGGCTGAGCGTCGTCTGGAAGATCCATGGCGGCGCTCGGGGGAAGCGGGAAGAACGGGAGGATATGAGGGAAATTGTCACCCAATAGTCGAGTGACAGGGAAGTCGGCCTGACTCCCCTCGTGGATCGCAACCACGGCCTTCGCTACCACTGTGGAATGTACGGGAGTAACTGTATGGAGCACAGAGAGACACGAAGTACAAGTAGGGGCACACATGCTATGAGAGAGAACATTATTTTTCCTTTTACGGGGGCCAGGGCGCGCCCGTCGCCTGCGCGCCAGGTGACTCAACGGCCCTTGTGGTGAGCCACAACGGCGGCACACAAGGGAGTAGGGACGGAGGTGAAGGAGGAGGAGAGGCTGACATGGGCATGACAACCACAAAGTGTTCGCCATCCCCGCGCAGAGGGGGGTAGGGCAACCTAGGCGCGCTAGCATCACATCTGACGTCCCACCCCTCGCTCCCATCCCTTACCATGGCGCAGATCTCCTATATATTTGCAGATTCGGATGTCGAGCAGGGCAATGATGCCAAGATGGTACGCGCTGGATGGAAAAGCATGCCGTCGAAAAGCATGTCAGAGCATAGTATGTGATGGCATGGCGTGGCATTGCGTAGTGAAGCATTGCATCACAAAGCGTTGCAACGCAAAGCATGGCCTCGCACAGCGGTGCACAGTTGGTTGCAGCGCAACAAGCCAGCGTTGCAGCACGATTCGGAAGAACCGAAGCGCGGGAATGAGGCCAGGACAGACGGGAATGAGATCAGCGCTGCAGCGGGAGCACGATTTCGAAAGACTGGAACGCGGGAACGAGGCCAGGACCGAAAACGGGAATTAGGCCACCGCTGCAGCCTGAGCACGATTGGGAAGGACCGAAGCACTGGAGCGAGGCCAGCGCTACAGCGACAGCGCTACCTGGAAGGACCGAACACGCCAGTGCTGCTGCGGGAAACTGATTTGGAACAACCAGAGGCGCGGGAACGAGGCCAGCGCTGCAGCGGGAACAAGATTTTGAATGACCGAAGCGCGGAAATGAGGGTGGCGTTGCAATGGGAGCATCATGTTGTAAGAGCCGGAAACGACCAGATTGAAACAACACATCGAAAAATCCAAATATTGAAATCTTTTGTGTCAACAACGATACGCGGAGAGGACGGGAGACTCTCCGGACAGAGTCAGGGGAGAGAGTAGAATTCACATTGTGTATTGTGGAGGGGGGAGGGTTCCCCAGGAGCATTTCTGCTTTTCAGAAGGTGCGGGCCTTGTCTGTAGAAGTTGGGCCAGCGCCTTCTACGAAGCAGCCTGCTTCTAAGAAACCTTCCCCCCTCCCCCTCCCCCCTTGTCAGGAAGACAACCATCGGGGTGGGAGGATGGGGTTGGGAGAAATGATGATATCATTACGCGTAGGTGGCCGAATGTATTGTTCATGGCATCCAGATGCTATTGCTCATACCCTTTATCCTCCCAGCCCCTTCCTCCCAACACGATAATTGTTCTCCTCACCTTGTGCGCGCCGCCATGTTCGGGCCCCCCGGGGCCGTCCAACAGCGGTCGGGTTTCCGCCTGGGGGGGTGTCGAGAGGTCCAGGGTGCGGCCCGTGTGGAAAGGAGCCGCGGCGTTGGAGGTCTTGGGGGGGACTGGGGGGGGCCAAATTGTGGGGAGGGGTTGGTGTTCGGCCGCCTCCTGGAGCCTCCTCCCCCGACTTGCAGGTCGTTCTCGCTCCCCCCTCCCCACCCAAACCGTCTCTCTATCTCCGAGGTCCTCTTCGTCATCCTCTCTTCTACTCCTCCTCCTCCTCCTCCTCCTTCGGTACGCTGGGCTCCTCCTCCTCCTCCTCCTCCTCACCATCAGCAGCATCATCACCAGCAACATCATCATCATCATCATCAGCATCATCTCCATCACCATCATCAGCATCATCATCATCAACATCATCATCATTTCCATTATCATCCTCATCCTCCTCTTCCCCCTCCTCATCAAGACATGTTCGCCGTGCTGTTCCGCGCGACGTTGAAGAACGCGCGGCAGATTGCATCACTCGAGGCCGCAGTGTTCCATCAGGTGCAGTACGCATCCTTACATGCATGTGTCTCGCAGTCATCGGCGCGGTGGCACAGCAGGGCGAGAGGGTCGGAACGATCAACCACCAGGCCTTGAAGGCCTACATCGACGCGGCGCGCGCGGACAACATGATTCCAAATGTCACGTTGTGCGAGCAGGTCCGCCACTTCCCCAGCTCGTACACTCACGACCGCATATAAAGATCCACCTCGAGGCGAGGGAGACCGGCGTGCAGCCACGCCCGCTCGAATCCTTCAAACCGCCAGGGTGCCGCGGTGACGAAAGGCACGCCGCCGAAATCGCACCACGGAAGGCCGATGCAGATGAGCGACGCAAAAAAACGGGGTCGCCTGCGCCGACATTGGCGCGTCAGCTGCCGACGTAAGCTCGCGCGTAAGCGCCCTGGTCTCCAATGAAGCTTGCCGCGTTGGCGGCCCGCGTGAGCCGCCGCGTAAGGTCGCTGCGCCATCTGGCGCAAGACTTGCTTCTGATCGTCGCTCAGATGTCCACCGACAGCGTGGAGGTCGTTTGGGGCTCGACGTCGTCAGGCTCGCCGCTTGGGGGCTCGTCGCCTGCCTCGCTTTCGCCGGCGAGGCTCGATGGTCAGGCTCGCCCCCTGCGGCGGCGCACCGTCGCCTGCGATGCTGCACGCGAGCGGCCGGAATCCCCCCCTGCAGGGGCGGGAGGCTGCCTGCAGTTACAGTCAGCACGAGGTGTGAGATCGAGGTCGGCTCGGGGAGGGTACTCTAATGTTCTCCGTGCCTGTTGGATGTTCTTGAGCATCCTGGGGGAGGGTACCCTTGGATGTTCTGTGCTTTGGCCGGTGGAGGGCTTCATGTTTTTGGAGGGTGTTCTTCTCTCCTAGGTCCGACTGTATCCACGGGCGGCCGAACGACTGGTCCAGACCTCCCTCCTCCCGGATGCGTCCGACCTCACTGCTGGTAGCACCAGCTGCGGCGCAGATACGTCGGCCCACTGCGTCGATTTAGCTGACGGCTTTACAGGTGAGTCTGATCCCGCTTTGCTGGTGGCAGCGACACCGACCCAGATACGTCCGCTTTCCTCTTCGATTGCACCAGCTGTCTTTTTCGGATGCGTTCGACCTCCTCGTCTGCGCCTGCGACCCCCGCTGCGACACGAATGCGATCTGTCGGACCGAGGTATAAAGTCGCAGTCGGTTCGCGGAGGTTACTCTGATGTTCTTCGCGTCTGTTGGATATTCTCGTGCATTTTGGGGGAAGGCACCCTCGAAGGTTCTCCAGTCTGGCTGGCGGAGGATCTCCTGTTCTTGAGGGACGCACTTCTGTCCCAGGGCTGGCCGTACCTGTCCTTCGCCGAGCTCGCTGGACTTGCGAGGCAGGGTGAGTGAGAGGGCATTGCGCCAGCCAGTTTTAGAAGTAGTTCTCCGTGGGTCAAAAGGTTTGGAGGGGATCCAAATGTGTTTTTGCGCTGCTGGAGGCGCTTCGTCCTCAGGACCACATCCTTCAGCACCCCATCTTTGAACCACCGAGGTTCCACCGCCTGCGGCGGGACCCCCCCCCCTCCTTCCCTCCCTCGTCTCCTCCGAGGCCCCTCGCCCTCGCCGCCTCTCGTCCCCGATCTTCTAACGCACCAGTGTCCAGAGCTTCCCGAGGGGCCCCGTGATGGCTATGGCCCGTGGGCCCCGCTGTGCCGAGGTTCTTCCTGTCTCGGCGCTGGTCCCAAGAACGGCTCCCGCCTGCCAGCTGGAGTTAGCAGCCCCACGGCGTTGTGGAGTGCGGGCGCTTTTGGCCGCAGGGGTGTGTCCGTGCTGCGTGTCGTGAAGCGTGTGGGCTCCCAGAGGGCAAAGCCCCCGCTCACAGCGCGCTCAAAGAATTATAATGATTATTTGATCGTGTGATGGAGCATTTGCTGACTCGTGTTCCTGATGAGCCCACCGCCACCTCCTCATGCTCTTCCTCCTCTCTCCTCCTCCTCATCTCTCTTTCTCCTCCTCCTCCTCCTTCTCCTCCTCCTTCTCCTCTCTCCTCCTCCTCATCTCTCTTTCTCCTCGTCCTCCTCCTCCTCCTCCTCCTCATCCTCCTCCTCCTCCTCTTGAGCCTCCTCTGCCTCCTCTGTTCTCCATTCTCCCTCCTCCTTCCTCGTCCCGGCCTCCCCTCGCCTCTACATCCCCCCTCTTCCGGGCTCTCCTCCCCGCCCGTGCCCATCCCTTCCCCAGCCCCAGCAGCCGTGTGGATGGGTGGCCACCGTGTCCAGGCGAGCGAGGAAGCCCGGGGGAACCTCCTGCGACCGAGGCGGTCCAGGAAACAATGAGAGCGCGCGGCTGGCCAGGGCCGCGTGCCAAAAGGAGCGGGGCGTCGGTCGTCGCCGCCGCGGGCCGACGCGGGCGGGGCAGCCGCGCTCGCCGGCCTGCTGTGGTCGCGGCCGCGCGTGGTGGGCGTGGCAGCAGTCTCTGGCATCTGCGCGGAGGGCCGCCGTCGTGCACGGGCGAAGGGCAGTGACAGCGGCGGGACTGGGAGCAGACTCGAGGAGGAGAAGGCACAGCTGAGGCCGCGCAGATGACCGCGGGGTCCCGTTTCAGCACGAAGGTCGGCGCTAGGCGTCGCCGAAGCAGGCGGCACCAGCCTCACCCGCGCCCGCGTGCCAGATCCACGGGCCTCTACGATCGGGAATTTTCGCTTAGCGTGTCGCTCCGCCGGTTCTGGCCTAATTACCACGCTACGGCGCGACACGCTGTCAACGCTCCAAGTTCCAAGCGCCAAGGTCCCGAGCCTTCCCGAGCCCCCCGCCCCGCTAAACGGAGCGACACGCAATCCGCTTGCATGGCATAGGGCGCCGCGGGGGCCGCCGTTGCGACAAGCTATCCAACAGTGGCTGACCTTAGTACATGTCAGCGGGTTCCTGGTAGCGGCGGCAGGCAATCCGTGGTGGCAGCGGCGGTATGCCGCGCGCGTCGTAGGCGGCATGCGGTAAGCGGCCGTGGCCGCCAGCTCCGGCCTCAGGCGCCCAGGCTCTTCAGCCACAGGTTGTGAGCTGGATGCCTTTGCCGCCCCAGGAGCCAGCGCTGTCTTCGCCTGGAGGGAGGGGGCAGTCAGTCGACCGCAGGAGGGAGAGGGAGCACCACCACCACCAGGGGGTCCACCTCCAGGGGGGGGTGTCTCGAGGTAGAGTGGGGGAAAGGGGAGCCATACCACCAGCAGGATCGTCTCTGGTGCCTCGCGCTGGTGGTGGTGGTGGTGGTGGTGGTGGTGGTGGTGAAGGTGGGGCCCCCACTCCGTGCTCCCAGTTGAGCTGCCTCGAAGCGCAGCGCAGCATCGCAGTCTCCGCTCGGAGGAGGTAGCTGGTTGAGCTGCCTCGAAGCGCACCACAGCGCTACGGTGGCCTCTAATGCCGTGCGCCAGGGCTTGGAGGTCAGCTACCGTCACGCCACTTGGGCGATCGCCCGCCTCGCAGGCGACCCAGGGCGAGCCCACCGCCGCCAGTCGTCCTCGCTGGCGTGGGCCGCGAGGCTGTCCTTTCCCTTCAGCGTGCACGCCAGCGTGCCTGGTCGTCCGCCTCCCTGAGGTCCGAGGAGGAGGCGGAGGAGGAGGAGGAGGAAAAGGAGGAGGAGGAGGAGGAGGAGGAGGAAGAAGGGCAGGAGGAGGAAGAGGAGGAGGATGAGGAGGAGGAGGAGGAGGAGGAGGGAGGAGGAGGACGAGGAGGAGGAGGAGGAGGGACTTAGTCGAGTCGGATGTGGGTGGAGGCCCCGCGGTGGCCGTGGGCGGCGCCTCTGGCGCAGCCTGGGCGGAAGGATGCTGGACTACTGCCGCGGCGTGGGTCTCTCCTTCCCCCTGCGCCCCCTGCTTCCCGCCATATCGGCCCTCCGTCTTCTCCCCCCCTCTTTCCTTCCCTGAGATCCGACGTCTCGAAAAAATTGCGACATCGTGAAAAATCACGGCTGGAGCCCCAGATCCCATCTTTATGAGCCATTTTCCGACCTGGATCCACTTGTGAGGGTCCCGGGGCCCGAGATGATGCAAGAACACGCCCTGCTCGAAAACATTGAGTCGCCAGGGTCTCAGAGTTCGCCCCGAGGGAGAGGGTTGGGTCCCAGGCCCCCGGGGGCCCTCCCCAGGACGATATGGCTCTGCATGCTGGATCCGTGGAAGCCCCTGCGGGGTCCCGAGATCGGCGCGGACGAAGGCCTGAGGCCCCTTCCTGCAGGGCCCCTCTGCTTCCTGCTGTTACAGTCAACCCGCACAGTAAGGATGGGTAACCTTCCCAAGGATACCCTCTGCATCCTTGCCCCGTCGGCCTGTCCTTGGCCACTTTCGCTGGCCGCGCCCGGCTCGAAAAGTTTCGGAATGGCCTTCCAAGGCCTTTGCACCCTTATCGCGCATCCGTCTGATACGGGCCGACTGTACGTTCATCTTCGGGGGACCTCGCTTGTCCCAAAACTTGTTGTTTGTCCTTGTGCCCGACGCGGGCTCGATGTGGACTCGACGCGGATTTGGCGTGGATTCGGTGCGGATTCGAGACGGATTCGACACGGGATCCGACGAGGCCGACGTGGATTCGATACGGATTCGACGCGGAGAGGGCCGCGACGGGGCAGACAAGGCCCCCCAAAGATGCAACACAAATGCGGATCTCCTCGATCTCCTCGTTCGCAGGTGGCCCTCACGGCCCAGAGGAGTAGAACCTGACGCCGTCTGCCCTGCTGGCCAGATAGACGGTGCGGCGCGCCAGGGCTATGCATATCCTCATCCCTCTTGAGCTATTCCTCCTCGCTGTCTTGCGTACAGCCTGGCCCGACTCTTGCGGCACGACTCGGCGTCCAGAGGCCCTCGTGTAGCTTCGGAACTGTTTCGGATGGCTTCGCATATTCTGATTGGGGGTCTGATTTTTTGGCGGGGTCTGGTTTGAGCTGTCTTGGAGGGTTCCAGAGGGCATTCTGGCCAAAAGGCCGCTCTTTCATGGCTGCCCTGGGGGGGGAGTGTCTCCAGCTGCTCGTCTGGGAGGGTTGTGACCCCGTCCCTTTTTATTACAATATTCGAAATGAGCATGGGATGGCCTCGGGTATGGCGCGGATGGCCGAGTCGGGGGTGGGGGGGGGGGCGGTGGGCGGGCAGGGGGGCAGGCGCGCCCCCCCCCCGTACATTCAGCATGGCCTCTCCTTCTGGCCTCCTCCTCGCTGCCTCCTCCCTCGCCCGCCGTCGCCGCGAGGCTGGCCGCGCTTCGCCGCGCGGGCGACCCGCGCGTGGAGGCGGGCAGCCCCCCCCCTTCCCCCAGCGGGGATCGGGGACGCCCGGGAGAATCTCCCGTCCTGTCCTCCCTCCCTGTCCTCCTCCCTGCCGCCCCCCCCCCCTTCCCGCCTGTCCTCCTTTTTCTCTGTCCTCCTCCCTCCTGTCCTCCCTCCTCCCTGTCCCTAGCCGTCCTCCCTCCTTCTCCTCCTCCATGTCCTCCTCCCTCCTTCCCGCCCTCCCTCCTCTCTCCTCCCTGCTCTCCCTCCCCCCCCCCCGAGGGCACGCTTGCACGTCCGAGCGCGCCGTGGGAGGGTGAGTGGGGGGAAGGGTAAGAGCAAGCGGACAACTAGAGTAAGCACGTCTTCCTCCTGAGGAGGAGGAGGAGGAGGAGAAGGAGGAGGAGGAGGAGGGAGAAGGAGAACGGGGGAGGAAGGACGAGAGAGGAAAGATGCAAGCTAGGTGCACTCGCGCCACATCTGGCATCCGATCCTTCCCTACCTTCCCTGCGGACGCGTGTCATAGCGGACCTGGAACTTCGTATTATTACCACAGCGAAGCATACTCATAGCAGCTGTGGAGCAGCTGGGACTTGTGGGATCTGTGGGACCTGTGGAGCTTGTCGGACTTTTGTGGCCTGTGGGACCTGTGGGGCTGGTGGGAACTGTGGACCTGTGGGACCTGCGGGACTTGTGGGACCTGTGCGACCTCGGGGACCTCTGTGGCCTGCGGGGCCGTTGGGACCTGCCACACCTGTGGGACCAGTGAGACCTGGGGGACCAGCGGGACCTGTGGGACCTGGGGGACTTCCGTGGGACCTGTGAGACGTGCGGCAGTTGTGGGACTTGTGGGACCTGCGGGACTTGTCGGAACCGTGGGACTTGTAGGACTTGCGAGGCCTGCGACACCTGTGGGCTATGTGGGACCTGTGGAACCTGTCACACTTGTGGGACCTGTGGGGCGACATGCGATACCTGTGGTTATGTGGGACCTGTGAGACATGTCGGGCCTTCGAGATCTGCAAGACCTGTGGGACTTGCGAGGCCAGTGAGATCCCCAAAAGTGGCCCACATTGGTGCGAGAGCGCCCTCGGGGGTCGGGGAGGGGCAGGAATGAGCAGGATGGACACCAAATAGATATTAACCTGGGTTTATAATGTTCTGTGATTATTGACCAGGGTTCATCATGTCTCGCCCAGATCATTATGAACCTGGGTTTCTATGTTCTGGGAATATTGGTTGGGGTTTATAACGTCCCCCCCGGAACATTTTAAACCCTGGTTTGTAATTTCTGGGGGATATCGACCCCAAAAACAAATTAATTTGGGTTCATTATGTTCCGGGAGAATTGATTGGGATTTTATAATGTCCCGGGAATAATGAAACCGGTTTTCGTAATTCCGGAATGATAGTACTTATTATTTTCCCCCAACCCCTGGGTTCCCCATCAGGTTTTCCATGTCGCAATATGGACCCCAGTTTCTTATCTCCAGGAGATAATATACCCGGATTCATAATGTTCCTGGAATATTGACCCCAGGTTAATTATTCTAAAATGATAATGATTGAGCCTGGGGGGCGCCGTTTGAGAGCACGTGCCGGACTGAAATTAACCTTGGTCCATAATATTGGAATATGAAACTTAGGTTGATTATTCGGGAAAGATAATGATTCGGCTGGGGGGGGCTGAGCCCGATCCATTCACAGGATAACGATCTATAGGTTATCATCTGAAGGCTTCATTCCTAGATCATAAACCACGGTCAACGAGGTTTCGCGCCTACTCTCGGGATGAGGGAATGAGGAGGGAGAGCGGGAGGGAGGGAGGGAGGGAGGGAGGAGAACAGGAAGGAGGAGGAGGAGGAGGAGGAAGACGAAGCAGAAGAAGAGGAGGAGGAGGGAGGAGGAGGGAGGAGGAAGGAGGGAGGAGAGGGGAGAAAGGCAAGCTAGGTGCGCTCGCGTCATAGCTGACGTCCTACATACCCCTCCCTTCTATCCCTTACCGTGGCGTAGATATCCTCTCGATTCGCACAGTCGGATGTCGAGCAGAGTAGTGATCGCGAGAGGGTACGCGATGCATGGTTATGCACGGCATGGCATGGCATGGAGTAGAAGCGTCTGGCAGGGCGTAGCATGCCATAGCATGCCATAGCATGGCGTGGCATTGCGACGTGAAGCATTGCATCACAAAGTATTGCAATGCAAAGCATGGCATCGCACAGCGGCGCAGAACACAACAGCGCACAGCATGTCATGGCATGGCGCCAGGTTCTTTGGAGGGTAAGTGGATCGTCTTCGAGAGGTCTACGCCGGTCTGGAGTCGTGGCTCCATGTCTAGCTCCTCGGGCTCCCCGAAAAGCTTCACACAAGGCGGGGCTGATGGAGAGCACCCGCTGGCTCTGCTTCCAACATCGCCTTCTCAAAGCAAAAACGGGGTTCCCGCTTGATATTTCCGGAAAACGACGACGCCGCAGAGTGGGGGGGCGGGGAGAAAGGTGGGGAGGAGAAGGAGAAGGAGGAGGAAGAGCTGGAGCAGGAGCAGGAGGAGGAGGAGGAGAACGAAGAGCAGGAGTAGGAGGACGACGAGGATGATGATGATGATGATGCTGATGCTGATGCTGATGCTGATGCTGATGCTGCTGATGATGATGATGATGATGATGATGATGATGATGATGATGATGATGATGATGATGATGGTAAACGTGTTGATGATGATGAGGAGGATGAGGAGGATGATGATGATGATGGTGATGATGATGATGATGATGATGGTGATGATTATGCTGATGATGATGGTGATAATGATAATGATGATGATGATACTGATGGTGATGATGATGATGATGGTGGTGGTGATGATGATGCTGATGATGATGATGATGATGATGATGATGGTGATGATGATGATGATGATGCTGATGCTGATGATGATGATGATGATGATGATGATGATGATGATGATGATGATGATGATGGGATAGGGGAGGGGATGATGGGGATGGTGATGGTGATGATGGGGGAGGAGGTGGAGGAGGAGGAGGTAGAGGAGGAGGAGGAGGAGGAGGAGGAGGAGGAGGAGGAGGAGGAGGAGGAGGAGGAGGACACGGAGGAGGCGGAGGAGGACGCGGAGGAGGAGGAGGAGGAGAAAAGTTTGCATTCCAACGGATGGAGTCGGCCCGCCTTGGATGCCACGAGCGTGGTACACAAGGCTGGCCAAGCACTTTGGCGGGGGGCGGACGAGCGCTACGAGACAGTTGTGGGCCAGCGCGGGTTCGACCAAAGGGACCCAATGTCCCCAGCTGGCCTCGCGGTCGATCAGCGGGGGCCTGGAGCAGCTTCCACGCGGACTGCAGCAGCTAGACGCTAAAGCCTTGCTCTTCTCGTATCTTGGCGACACGTGGTCGTGGCGGCCAACCTGGGAGCTTGCACCCGGGACGCGCTTGCGAAAGCGCTCGCGTCGCTGGGGTTCGAGTTGACATCTCGCAAGACTCTGGTGTGGTCTCCGCGCGAAATCCAGGCAGCCGAGAGAGATCTCGCGGCCCACTACGTGCCCGATCTGCCTGCGCTGTGCGCCCACCTCCGCGCGCTGAGGGGGGACCCGCAAACGGACGCCAGGGCCGCGCTCCACTTCGACGGGAGCAACTGCGGCCTTGACGGGGCCCGGGAGCGCCTGGAGCAGCTGCGGGGCCAGCTGCGCCAGCTGCAGCACGGGGGTCCTTCCCAGCAGGCCGCCGCTGCGCTCCCGCGCACCTACGCGGGCAACGCTAGCCAGCACAACCTGCAGCTGGAGCTTGTAGCTGGCGACGAGGCGCTCCGCTACAACAACGCGCTGTGCGCTTGTTGGGAGGACCTGGCGGAGCGGCCGCTCGTGCTCGATACTCGCGACTTGCTGGGCTGGGCTTGCTTGCGAAAGTGGGTGGCGTGGGGTCCAGTGGGCGGGCACGCGCAGGACGGCCGCATACTGGGCGGCCGGGACGTAGGCGGCAGGCGACGTGCAGCGCGGTTTCGGCGCCGCCTCGCTTGCAGACGCACTGGAGACCCTCCCGCAGACGCGCTTGAACCTCGAAGCGGCGCGTGCAGAGGTGGCGCGCGAGTGCGCCGAACCCTCCCGGAGGGGCCCGCTGGCTGTCACACTCGTGAGGAGACGCGACAGAAGACGATCGTTGCGATTATTCAGAAGACGATAAGCGCTGCTGCCAAGCAGCGAGTGGATCTTCGCAGCATGGGACCGAATTGCTGTCTGCGGGCGGACCCAGGGCAGGCGGCCTCTTGCAGTACCCGACAGAACCCATCTGCTGCTTGGGGGACGTGGGCTGGAGCACCTCTCTCTGCCGTCGCCTGCAGGTGCGGCGGCCGGGGTGCTCGCTCGCGGAGCTGGCGCAAGCCTTTGCTACCTGCTGCAGCCACACGGCGGCCGCCGCACCTGTTCGGCCCCGCTGGACGAAGACAGCTACCACGCCTGCGCTCGCCAGTCTGGCGGGAGCGAAGTGAGGCGCCACGGCGACTTTCGGAAGACGCCGGGGAGCTCGGCAGCGCGGCGGCCCGCAGAGGGGCCCGGCCTGCCCGTCGTGGAATGCGCCATGCCGGGCCTCCAGAGCGCGGAGGTGCACGGCCCCTGGTGGGTGGACGTGACGGTCCGCCACTGCCGCCGCGCAGCGGCAGGTTTCGCGACGGCGCTCCAGGCCGAGCGCGAGAAGCACGAGAGATACCCATGGGAACGCTGAGCTGCATTCGCCTTGGAGACCTCCGGTCGCTTGGCGCGGCAGCGGCTGCTGGCGCAGGTGCGCGGGCCCCCTGAGGGCGCGGTGCCTGGGGAGCTAGAGCGCGCCTGCAAGGCGCGCAGCTGCGCGCTGCAGCGCCGCCGGGCTGCGCCGAGCTGGGGCGGCGCTGCGCTGCTGGGGCGCAAGGCCAGAAGCTGCGCTCCAGAGGCCGAGCCGCCCTGGGGGCGCAGTGGCGGCAGCGGAGGGTGACGCCAGACCGGGCGGCGGCCAGCCGTTGCAGGTGCCCGAGCGCGCCGGGCC